GCCCAGGCGGGTCTCGAACCCGCAGGCTCAGGCAATCCACTCACCTCAGCCTCCCAAAGGCACGGGATTACAGGCTGAGCCACCAAGCCCGGCTTGTTGTAATGTTTAATAAGGTTTTTTTCTTTCCTGTGTTCAATATTCATGCAGAGAGTATGACTAATTTGACATTATTTCTTTAGACTTTTTTTTCCTTTTCTTTTTTTTTTTCTGTTTTTTGAGCTGGGGTCTCACTTTTCCACCCAGGTTAGAGTGCAGTGGCTCACCACAGCCTCAGCCTCCTGGACTCAGGTGATCTTTCCACCTCAGCTTCCTGAGTGGTTGGGACTACAGGTGTGTGGCACCAAACCTGGCGAATTTTTTGATTTTTTTATAGAGACGAGGTCTTGCTATGTTGCCCAGGCTGGTCTCAAACTCCTGGACTTAAGCGATCTTCCCTCCTCAGTCTCCTAAAGTGCTGGGATTATAGGAGTGAGCCACCACATCTGGCCATATTTCCTTAGATCTTTGAATTTGGAATATGCTTTGTAATCCTGGTGTTTGAGCATGCTGAATCCTAACCACTAGACTACCAGGGAAGACATCATAATCCTGTTGTTTTAATGCCACTCTTTATACCATAGACAAGTGTGTACAGTGACCACATGTCTTGTCATGTGTTGGCTAAGGCAGAGGACAGCTTAAAGCTTTCTACCAGTCTTTTGTTCAGCGACTGCATGCTTCTCCTTTGGAGGGCATGTTGTTCCTGTGCTCATCCTAAAGGGTGGCACAGAACCCCTGATTCTCCTGGGTGACCAAGCTCTGAGCATCGGCAGGACATGGATACAAGAAGGAACACAGTGACGGGCGACTCTGTTGCTGTCCCTTTTACTCACACAGTAGATCTTCCCAAGCAATGGGACAAAAGGAACAGAGGATGCTAATGACAGCACACTGGGGGTACATGTGATGACTCTGAGCCTGGTGCCACCAGACACTCAGAAATGACAGGGGTGTCCACAGCCCCAGTGGTTCCGTGCCTTTGCAAGAAGCTGCCAGTTCTCAAATTCCAGTAGGAGCTTGCCATACAGTGTTTCTTTCCTGCTTCCTTTAGAAGGGTAGCATAGACATCATCTAGGGCTGCTAGAACAACATACCACACACCGAGTAGCTTAAACAACAGAAACATGTTGTCTTACCACTCTGGAGGCCAGAAGTCCCAGATCAAGGTGCCAATGGGGCTGGTTCCTTCTGAGGCTGTGAGGGAAGTCTCTGTCCCAGGCTCCTCAGCATTTGGCAGCCTCAGGTGTTCCTTGGTTCGTAGTTGGCGTTTTCCTCGCCTCTTCATGTTGGCTTTCCTCCGCGCATGTTTGTGTCTGTATCCAAATTTCCCCTTTGAAGAAGGACACCAGTCATAATGGATAAGAGTCCACCCTGATAACATCATCTTAGTTTTATGACATCTACAAAGATCCTGTTTCCAAATAAGGTCACATTCGTAGGAACTGGAAATTAGGATTTTAGCATGTTTTTGGAGGATACCTTGCAACTCGTCTCAGGTATATAGTAAGCAAAGGCCACAGTGTTACTTAGCCAGTCAGCCTTTTTTGTAAGACCAAGGTGTTAAGAAGAGCAAATGACTGTAGTAGCCTTTGGAGAATGCAGAGGGCCTCTGAGGACTCTAGACGCAGTCCCTGAGGGATCCAAGGACTAGATCTGGTAATTTAAGGCAGCTCACGGGGCTTCCATCTTGCTGCATAACCTCCTTCCTTCACTACCCCCCATGCCCAGGCCTCCTTCGCACTGCCCCCCCCATGCCAGGCAGAGTCCCACCACAGCCTCACAGGTTTCTCACTCCCTTGTCTAAACATATCTGTCCAGAGACTTGACACCTCACCTCCAGCAGGAAAAAAAATCATGGACATCAGATTCTCTTCCCTGATATTGAGTTAATTTCTTATAAACATTTTTAAACAAATTTGATGTTTTCTCCTTAACAAAAATAGAATTGCAATGATTTTCGGTTGCTGAAAAGTAGTGAAAACTCGGCCACACACCAGACATCCTGGGGACCCCTCATTCGGTCTGAAGGTGAGTCGATGACTTAGTTTAGAGAACTAAAGAAAAGATGCAACCAAGCCCATTTCATTGGCATGAAAAATGAAAAGTAACTCTGTATTTTGAAATGTGGAACTCTTAAGATATTTCTAGAAGACTCATAATAATAGAAATGGTCATAGCTAATCTTCACTGAGAGCCCCTGTATGTCAGCACGATGCTAAGCTCTTTACATGCAGTGTCATTTGCTTTTTCTAAGCAAATGGAGTAAGATCTATTATTAACCCCATGTTACAGATGGAAAGACTGAGGCTTCAAGAGATCAAGCACAAGGTTAAATAATGCAGTGTAACATTTTGAGTTGCATAATGCAGTGAAGTTTTCTGACACTGCATAAATACATCAAATGCATCATTAAGGGTTAGGAAATTAAGTTAAAATCAGACAATGTCAACTTCTCTGTATGTTTGTGTGTTTGCACAAATGTGTATGTACACGGAAAAGCTTTTTTATTCAAAAGATGCAAAAAAATGACATTTCTGTTCCCTTTCATTATACAACTTCCATCAGCTAATTACATTCCATGTACAAGGGTGAGCAGAACCCCAAAAAACCCTGGAATTTATTTATAAAAAATTGTGTATTTACATGTTTAAACTTCAGTCACCTTCAAAGTACTCTCCATTTGATGCAATACACCTATCAAGTTGCTTTTTCTACTGCTCTGTTTGTGAACTCATCAATGTTGATGCCTTTTAGTGCGTCTGCTGTTTTTTGTCTCATCTTTTCCACTTCAGCAAACGTTTCCCTTTGAGGACTTTTTTCATCTGAGGAAACAAACAAACAAAAAAGTCGCCTGGGGCAAGATCCAGTGAATAGGTGATGTGGGGTATGGGAGTCATGCTGTTTTGGTTAAAAAGTGCTGAATACTCAGTGAGGTGTGGGCAGGTGCGTTGTCATGGTGGAAGAAAAAGTCACCCGTCTGCCACAATATTGGATGTTTCTTCTGCAAATTGTGACACGACCTTCTCAAAACTTCCAGATAAAAACTTTGATTGTTTGATCTGGAGGAACAAATTCCAAGTGTATTACAAGGGGCCTGCCCTCCAAAGGATAATTCCATTTTTTTGGAGGGAGGGTCTCTGCTCATATTTTAAAAACTCAAAATCAGTTTTCCAGGAGCACAATTTATTCTCTGTGTGATCCATCCTTTTATTTGAAGAGAATATTGGTTTGAGGAAACTGTGTGCTTTGAGTATTAAGAGAGAAATTGCAAGTTGTCCCCCAATATTTATTTTTCTCCTCTTCTGTAGCCATAGAGTCTCCAGTTTTCAGCTGGCACATAGCTTCCAGGAAAAAAACAAAAACAAAAACTATGATCCTAAACTCTTGGTAGTTGAATGTGGCCATAGAGTAAGTTCTGGACAAGGATGTGTAAATGGGAAAGTCATGTGACAACTTTAAAAGAGGTGCCCTCCTTAAAAACATCCAGTGCCCATCCTCTGCCTGTTTCTCTTTGTCATTTCCCTGTCCCGCTGCCTCACATGCAGATGAGATGGTCAGTTACCATCTTGGCCCTGAGGACGTGGGGCACAGTGTCTGGAGGGAGACATGTTTCCAGGACACCAAAGAGCAAGCAGCCAGGCCAGGCCTAGGCTTTGACCTTCCCTTTTTATGCTAGAAGGAAATAAATTGCCATTTCCCTTAAACCACTGCTATTTTGGGATTTTTTTCTCTTTCTTGCCCCTGAATCTAATTCAAGATGGTTTTCTTTTTCTTTTTCTTTTTTTAGAAAGCAGAATTTATTGAGAGGACAGAAAAGTTCCCACAGTGGGAGGAGACCCAAAGGGGTTGCCCCTCAAGTTGGCTTTCTATTTTTGTTGTTTTGCCCCTAACCTGATGACCCTCTTTGTATCTTCCTGTATAAGAACTTCTGGGTTTTGGATGCAGGGTGTGAACAGGACCCATGTGCTGGTCAGGCTGCAATTAGAGACTGGGGAATGAGAGGAGAGAGGGCTTGGCCAGTGGTTTCTAACTGCTGGTTCTCATCTGAAGCATTTGAGAAATTTTAAAAAATAGACACAGGTCCCAGGCCACACCCCAGGCCTACTAAGGCAGGATCTCTGGAGGCAAGTCCCAGGCCCGTGTGCTGGTCCTTGGGTGACTATTAGTCTAGGTCCTGGAAAAACATGCTTCTCCTACACTCTTCATTTTCTTAAATTGCTAGGGAAAACTGGGAGTCTGGGACCTCAGTAAGAAAGAGCACATGTGTGAAACATGTTCTCACCAATGGAACTCAACCTTTTAATTCATCCATAGTTGTTATGGGGAATGTTATATCTAGAGTGTGAAAAACACTGGACTTGGAGTTGGGACACCTGAGTTTGATTATAGGGTCTAAGACTTATGGGCTGTGTGATTTACGCATTATCCACCCTTTCATCCATCCACTCATCCATGTTCCATTGATTCATCCACTTATCCATCCATTTATCCATTCCTTCCATTCATCTATTCATCTGTCCACTCAGTCATCCATCCACCAACACAGTCATCTACTTACTCATTATTTCATTCATCTATTATGTGTCAGGCACTCTACCTTTTCTTTGCAATGTGCCCTGCCTACCTTGTTAGGTTGTTGTGAGTGTCCAGTGGGATTATGGTAAATAAGAATCCTTTGTGAGGCTTTCTGGATTCAAAACCTTTTTCTGACACTTAGTAATAATTTTGTGACTTTGGGCATGGTACATACACTTTACATTGTGCCTCATCTTTCTCATCTGTAAATGGGGAAAATAATATCTTGTAATTCATACAGAGCTTGGCCCATAGAAGTTACTGGATAAGAATTAGTTGTCATTTTAATTGGTAGAGCACTACACTGGCATAGCCAGTGCAGACAACCCCAAGTTTATAGGAGTGTAATCAGTCAGGCTCAAGAATAAAGGTTATTATTATTTACTTTGTTCCCTTTTCTTAATGTATTATTAGCATTTGTCTGATCCATAACTGTCATACACAAGTACAGAAAAAATCATTTAGACACATGGAATCTCTCAGTGGTGGGAACTTGACAGCATTTTAATAGTATATATTAACAGAAGCACAGTTGGGTCACCTGCAGGGGTGACCAGAGTCTGACAGACATGTTCCTTTAGGGCCTCTGTTCCCTGTCTCTACTCCTATGCTCTACCCCGACATCACCATTACCATTGCCTCCACTGCAGGGAGGAGATGAGAACACTCTGAAGAGCTTAAGGAACATGTCTAGGATTGCATGGCCGGTACCCACTGGAGCTGGGGCTCTGAGTGCTGATCTAGGCTATTCATAAGCCACACCCCTCTCTGTCCCCTAGGGCTAGGCTGGCTTTGTTTGGAGGCTTCACTCCACTCCTGCCTTCATGCCATGTGTTTGGGTATCTTGGGGGGCTGCCATAACCAAGTATCACAGACTGAGTGACTTAGCAACAGAAATGTATTCTCTTATAGCCCTGGAGGCCAGAAGTCCAAGACCATGGCAGGGTCATGGGCCCTCTGAAAACTGTAGAGAAAAATGGTTTTTGTCTCTTCCTAATTTCTGCTGGTTATACCCAGTCTTTGGGGTCCCTTGGCTTGCAGCTGAATCACCTAATCTCTGCTCTTTCTTCACATGGCCTTCCCTGGGAATCTCTGTTTTCACATGGCATTCTTTTTTTAAGGACACCAGCCATATTGGACTAGGGACCTATCTTCTTCGTATCACCTCAGCCTTAACTAATTGTATTTATAACAATTCTATTTCCAGATAAAGTCACATCCCACAGTATATTAAGTCTCCTACGTACGAGCCTTCAAGTTGTAAACTTTCAAAGATGTAAAGTGCATTCGCCTGTCTAATAAGTTAGTTCATGTGTCTGGCAAACATTGTCACATGTATGCATCCCCTGCAACTGGTTGTGTGTTTGCATACTTTACTGTACAGTACTGTATAGAGTACAGTAGTGCAGTATTCAGGATGTCCAGAAGCAAGCGTAAAAGCAGCCATGCAGCCTGTTGTGTTAGTTGAATACTTAGGCTGACTTTGTTGACTTATGAACAAATTGGACATAAGAATGTGGTCTCAGAATGGAACTCATTTGTGTGTGGGAGACTTACTGTAATAGGGATTCCAACATATCTTTTTTGGGGGTCAGGGGCTACACAATTAAACACATAACACTGTGTATTGGCAGTTTGAGAAATATCCATTTGGGCGTCTTTCCTGAATGCATGCTACCAACAAATGGCACACCAGCATCATCGTTTTTGCATTAGGTTTTTGAAAATCCTCCATGACTATACGAGATGGCCCACTTACTTACACTCGTTAGAATGTCACTGTGCAAAGAGGTAGAGAAAGTTTGGGACTAATGTCCATGGACTGATGCATGACCTGACTGTCACAACGCATACACAGTCACACCCACATGCAGTCACACCACTCATGCAGTGATTCCAGATAGTTCACATAAACAAGATCATAGGATTTGTGGCCTCTTTCATTTATGTTCATCTGCTGCAGCCTGGGACTGGGCTTCACTCCTTTTAGAGTTAGATAACATTCCAGTATATGTCTAGACCATAGTTGTTTCTTTTCTTTTTTTTTTTAAGACAGGATCTTGCTCTGTCACCCAGACTGGAGTGCAGTGGCATGATCATAGCACATTGCTGCCTTGACCTCCTGGGTTCACGTGATCTTTCCACCTCACCCTCCCAAGTAGTTGGGACTATGGGCTCACCCCTTTCCCCTATGCCAGGCTAATTTTTTTTTTTTTAAGAGAGACAGGGTCTCCCTGTGTTGTCCAGGCTGGTCTTGAACTCCTGGCCTCAAGTGATCCTCCCATTTCGGCCTCGCAAAGTGCTGGGATAGCAGGTGTGAGCCACCATCCCTGTTTATTCATTTCATCAGTTAATGGACATTGGGTTGTTTCTACCCTTTGGCTATTGTGAATAATAGTACTATGAGCACGAATGTATGAGTAGCTATTTGAGAACCTGCTTTCAATTCTCTGGGGCACACACTCTCCTGTGATTTTATTTTGTTGCTCCTCTGGGACTGGAGCACCCACTCCTCCATGTGGTGAAACGTGCTCAAGCCCAGCCCATGTTCCATATGGGGAGTCTGGCTGGGCTCTCCCCTCCTACTGGGAAGACCTCTTACTGCTAGCCCCAACCTCTTGGCCATGGCCTGCCCCAGATGTGGGCAGGCTGACATGTCTTTACAGCTGTGTCTTCCTGGATCTTGACCCTTGCCCCGTCTTCAGTAACCCCCCAGGCACACAGCCATGTGGGCCTCACTTCCCTGAGGCTGCAGCTTGGTCACAGGTTGCTCTGCTCAGGCTCCTCCTGGTGTACACAGACCTCTTACCTGGGCTGGTTTCTTTCCACAGGTGAGTCTCCAGGTACAGAACCAGGCTTGAGCACCGGCTACATAGCCCTCATTGTAGTGGTTCTTTGTGCCCTGGTGGCAGGGGTAGCTGCCCTTCTGATCCTGCGCTACCAGAGAATGAATGGAAAATACAGCTTCAGAAGCCAGTCGGGCAACTTCAGCTATCAGGTGTTCTATGAATAAGCGGAGCAGGTCTACCTGAAGGTGGGTGTGAACAGTGGATGCGTCCCTCCTCGGTGGAGTGGGCTTTGGCCACAGGTAGATGTGTGTGTCCGTGTTTTGTGGCTCCCTACTGGAGGCATATCCTCCCTTCCTAAAAAACCAACAATAGGCAGGCAGGGGCGGGGGGGTTGAAAGTGGGGGAAACACAGGCAGCCGATGGGTGGCGGGTTCTATGTATTCACACACTTGCTGGCCCCATGGAATGAGAGACTGCACAGTGGGTAGAGGAGTGAATGTAGAATCCCCGTGCTCATCTCAAATCCCAGCTCTGCCACCATTCGTTGGGCATCAGCTGAGGCTCTTGATGCCTCGGTTTCCCTATTTGTAAAAGAAAGCTGGGTCTGGTGTTGTGGCTCACACCCGTAATCCTAACACTTTGGAAGGTTGAGGCAGGAGGATTGCTTGAACCTAGGAGTTTGAAATCACCCCAGGCAATATAATGAGACCTTGTCTCTACAAAAAAAAAATTTTTTAATTGCCCAGATCCGGTGGTGCATGCCTGTAGTCTCAGCTACTTGAGAGGCTGAGGCAGAAGGATCTCCTGAGCCCAGGAGGTTGGGGCTGTGGTGAGCTGTGATTGTGCCACTGCATTCCAGCCTGGGCAACAGAGTGAGAACCCAACTAAAAAAAGATTATAATAAAATAAAAAATAAAAGAAGCGTTTGAGAATAGATCCAGTCTCATGGAGGGATGTGAGAGTTGAATGAGAGGTGATGCAGGACCCTGCCTCAGGGTCTGGCACACTCGGACACTGACCTGTCCCAATGCTGGTCCTTGCTCATGTGTCCCTGAAGCCTTGCACTCACAGGGAGCATCACTGGTGTTGTGGACACCACAGTGGGCCGACATACCACACAGCTCTAGCCAACAGCCTTAATAAACATCCAGACTTTGAGTACCAAAATGCTTTTCTTTTTCTTTTTCTTTTTTTTTTGAGTTGGAGTCTCGCTCTATAGCCCAGACTGGAATGCAGTGGCTGCTCCCAGCCACCGCAGCCTCGACCTGCTGGGCTCCAGCGATCCTTCCGCCTCAGCCTTCTGTGTAGCCGGAATTACAGGCACGCGCTACCACGCCCAGCTAATTTTTTGATTTATTGTAGAGATGAGGTCTCGCTGCCCAGGCAGGTCTTGAACCCGCGGGCTCTGGCAATCCACTCACCTCAGCCTCCCAAAGGCGCAGGATTACAGGCTGAGCCACCGAGCCCGGCTTTCTTTTCTTTCTTTTTTTTTTTTTTTGAGTCAGAATTTCACTCTGTCACCTAGGCTGGAGTGCAGTGACACAATCATGGCTACCTCAACCTTGACCTCCTGGGCTCAGGTGACCCTTCTGTCTCAGCCTTCCAAGTAGTGGGAACCACAGGCGTGTGCCACTACATTCAGCTAAATTTTTGATTTCTTGTAGAGACGAGTTCTCACCAAGTTGCCCGGGTTGGTCTCTAACCCCTGGGCTCAGGCAGTCCTCCCATCTTGGCTTCCCAAAGTGCTGGGATTACAGAGTGAGCCATTGCACCTGGCCCAGAGATGCTTTTCTAATCTGCTCCATGGCCTTGTTTTTTCTTGGACCTGCAGAGTTCACCATGAACCAATGACATACCTTTTGGAGGGCAGTCTTTAGTATAAGCCTTTAGTGGAAAATGCCAAGACTGTGTGACTTCTGTAAAGATTTTGAGAATTAAGAAAAAGAAGAAATGATCACAAGCCTCGTTAGGCCACCTTCCCTGTGCTCAGGTTTTTATCCTCTTGAGATAACAGCTCTTTGAAACAACTCTGCAAAGTGTGATAGACACTATCCCCAATCTTAAAATGAGGAAATGGGGCCTAGAAAACTCCAGTGAATTCTCCCAGGCCACACAGCAGAACACAGACTATAAGGTACCTCTCTGTGTGGCGACCTCTACACTGCCCTGGCAGGGTGACTTCATCAGAGAAAACATCATCCCTTCCTGGATCTGATTCTGTAACTGTGAGAGGGATGCTTGTGTTGATGTTATCTCAGCCCTCTCTCCTCCCAGGACTCCTGGTAGCCAATGTGCACGTTATTCCGGGTCTCAGAACTCCTTATAGCATAGATGGATAGAGTTATGAGGGATTTTTTTTCCTTCCTTCCTTCCTTCCTTCCTTTCTCTCTCTCTCTTTTTAATTTTATTTTAAAGATGTGGGGTACAATTCAGGGTTAAGTATATAAGTGGTCATCATGCAGGTAAAGTTTGGGCCTCCCCTTGGTTCCCACTTCACCTGGTTTGAGATTTGTTTCTCTTATTGATGTTATGTGCTTCCCCCCCCCGCCCCTCCCCCGGCAGTGTCCCACTCCTGACAATCCCTTTCTTATAGCATTGTTATAAATGTTCAGGGTCCGCTTAGGAGTGAGAACATGTGGTACTTAGATCTTTGTTTCTGTGATAAATCACTGAGTGTTACAGACTCTAATTCTATCCAAGTGGCTGCAAAATTCATAATTTTGTTTTTCTTTATGGCTGCAAAATATTCCATGGTGTATATTCAGTGCATTTTACTTAACGTCTAAAATGTAAATACCAGTAACAGAGCTAACTCTTGTCCTGCTAAATCTCTAAAGAAATCTGGTGGGCCAGAGCCCGGTCATGTTGCATGTCCCTGACCTAAATTGGCCTCTGGGCTTTTCTTATTTTTTCGGGGCTTCTGTCTTCCAGAATGAAAGGCATCTATAACTAGCTCCAAATTTCCCGCAAAAATCTGCTCTTTGAAAAACATCAGCCAACAAATCTACCCACTCCTTCTGGGTGGACGTGTGGAGCAGTTCCCTCAAGCCGAGCCCAGAACCCCAGTGGGTTCTCCACCATGTCGCTGCCCATCCGGCCAGGGTGTCTATGCCCGTCACCCACCGCCACTGGCTAACACAGAGGGAACTTGACTTCCTGGGACCAGGCACAGCTTCATAGCCCCCATTCCTCTGTGGGTTCCAGGAGCCACTGCCCTTACTTGCTATTTCCTTTTTTGGGAAATGATACTAAATGAAGTGTTTTATTTATTTATTTTTGCCCTTTATTTTTTGCCTTTTATTCTGGGCACACACTGTCTCTATCCAGTGAGCATAGACTGGTCCTGGGGCTGGTGGTTCCCTCCGCTCCCCATGTTCCCAGGTTTTCTGTAGAAACGTCACGTTCCTCTCCATGAGCTGACCCAGGTGACCTTCCCTACACAGGTCGCCATGAATCAAGTTCAGTCCTTCATCCATCAAGCATTCACAGGGGCCGGCTCCATCAGGCACACCAGGCTGGCGCTTGGGTGACCCAGGGAAGATGACAGCAGCCCCTGCCTGTCCCCAGGAGGCCACCATCCTGTAGGCCTCAGATGAGCAACACACCACCAGGCAGATGAAGGGCTGCTGGAGACAGGACAGAGCACTGGAGGGCCCCAGGCTCCAGACATGGACTCTCACACCCGGCGCCTCGTGGCTCTACCACCGCTCAAGCCACCTCCACACCCTGGCCTCCCAGACCCATGACCGTCCAGATTGGTCCATGTGACCCCCTAGGCCTGTTCACCACTGATTTCCATCACCTGATACCTTCTTCGGCAGGCACATAATATTTCACACTTTCAGAGATATTGGACAGTGTGCTCTTGAAACCCCTTTACAAATAGGTCAGTCTTATAAATATACCACTTGTGTTATTTTTGGTAGATGTATATGCTCTTTAACTTTTTTTCTGTGTTCCAGAATATTATTTTTATTTATACAACAGTGACTCAAAAGGCACTCTATCAATATGAAAATCTTTTTAATAAGGAGAAATAACATAACACAAAACACATCACTCTGTTACATTTTTTCAAGTATTTTCATGGTCATTTTTTCATAGAATCCTCCCACTGGGGCAGGTGGAACTTGCTCATTACATGAAGAGAGCCAGTAGAGGGAGTAGCAGGGTCCTTAATTAAGGTCACAGGATTAATCAACAAGAAAATGGGTCTAAAATCTAAATATTTTAGTCTAGAATTTTCTCCATTATGCCATGCTAAGAGATAATGGTTTTCACCTTACTTGAAGTAAATTAGAATCATTTTAGATAGTTCACATCTGAAAGTAGTTTTTCCTCAGTGAACTTGGAGTTAGGACATGGCCTTAGTTTTTCACTCATGAATTATGTTGAATGTAATTAGCTGACGTTCACACAGAATATTTGGGGAAAGGAGCATTTTGATTTACTGGATATTTGCAGAGTTGGTCAAGAATCGCAATGTGTGGTGTGTGTGGACAACAGATTCTGACCAAGTGGCATAAATCGCAGGTTAGCTGTGGGGGATGCTGCATTTGGTCTGGTCACATGACCGATCACTGTGTATCTGCCCAGGGCTGCTGCTGTGCCGGCACTCTGAGGAGACCAGGAATGTGTCTGGTTCTTCCAGAGTCACATCCAGCTCAGCTGTTCTGATCTCAGCTGAGGACGTTTCATTTGCCTTTCTTGAAGAAGAGCGTGAAATGTTCAATAAACCCAGTGTCGAGCCCCTGGCTGTGTGACTCTTTGGATTTCAGAGAAAGTAGGTGGCATATTTTCAAACTTCCTTGACATTCATGTAATCTTAATAAACATGGTATGTTCATTTATTTGTGTTTTCTGTAATAATGAAAACTTGGCCTTCCCTCTTCTTCCCTCCCTGACACCGGACTCTTCTTCCAAAAATAATTCCTGAGCACCACTGTGCTCTAGCCCTGAGCTTGGTGCTTTAGACAACATGGTGAGGGAGGCAGATCGAACCCTGCCCTTACAGAGCACATGATCTTGGGGGGCAGGGAGACATTCAACAGATGAGGGGAGCTATGGTAAGTGCTGAGAGGGAAGAGTATATGTGTGCTGTGAGATGTCCCTGACTTGGTTCCTCCATCCACCCACCTAACCACCTACCATCGGTCCATTCACCCGTCCATCCATCCACCCATTCATCTATTCATCCATTCATCCACCCATCGGCTCAACCATCCACTTATCTATCCCCCTCTCATCACTTATCC